GAACATATTCGCCCCGCTCCAAACACCATGTCTGACGCCAAGCCTATTCCCCACACCAATGGCACCATTGGGCACGACAACAGCATTCCGGGTAAGTCTTCGCATCTCGCTATGCCCAACAAGTTTCCAAGCATTCCAGCAAGCTGCTGACCCTTCTGCTCACAACGTTGCGTGCGAGTGCACTAGTGCCGCCAGTGAAGGGTAACAAGTCGTTTGTGCTGCAAGCAGTGGACAAGACAGTGTTCGAAGAGCGACCCATTCCGACGTTGAAGCCGCATCAAGTGCAGGTGAATGTCCGTCAGACTGGTATCTGCGGCAGCGACGTGCACTATTGGAAGCATGGACGCATCGGAGACTTTGTCCTCACATCCCCCATGGTGTTGGGACACGAATCGGCAGGAATCGTGACTGCGGTGGGATCGCATGTCAAATCTCACAAGGTTGGCGATCGAGTGGCTTTGGAACCGGGCGTGCCTTGTTTCACTTGCGATACGGACAAGGCGGGTCATTACAATTTCTGCAGGGACTTGGAATTCGCAGCGACGCCTCCTTACGACGGCACGTTGGCCACGTACTACAATCTTCACGCTAGCTTTGCTCACAAGGTGCCAGACAACTTGACGCTGGAAGAGGCTAGCTTGATGGAACCGCTTGGCGTGGCAGTGCAGGCAGCCGTCAGACAGGGACAAGTCAGAGCTTTGCAAAACGTCATCGTCTTTGGTGCCGGTCCTATCGGACTGCTGACCGGTGCAGTGGCCAAAGCTTACGGAGCCAAACGAGTGTGAGTGGACGCTTTCCCAATGCAAGCGAGGGCAAGGCAAGACAGCGAAAGTCGAGGCGCATACACTGCGCCCCCCGTCATTGCTGACCGGTAGGCGCGCGCTCTTTCACCCACCAGCATCCTCGTCGACATTGTTCCATCCAAGTTGGAGTTCGCCAAGTCCTTTTGCGCAACAGACACGTTCATCCCCACTCGTCCAGCAGAGGGAGAAACGGCGATGGAGGCTGCAGAAAGGAACGCTCTAGCGCTCAAGGGCCAGATGGGAGTCGACGTGATCGATGCGGATGGAGCAGACTTGGTGTTGGAATGCACAGGCGCTCCACCGTGCGTGCAGATGGGCCTCTTCATGACCAGAGCAAAGGGTCGTTTTGTTCAGGCGAGTTTCACGTCGCTTGCTTTCTACCCACCAATGACAAGTCTCGCTTGCTGACACCCTCGCTCGCGCACTGCAGGTCGGAATGGGAAGTCCAGACGTGCTGCTGCCTCTGCACAGGATCAACATGAAGGAGCTCGAAGTGACTGGTTCTTTCAGATACGGCTCGGGAGTCTATCGAACAGCTATCGATCTCGTATCTCAAGGTCTGGTAGACGTGAAGAGGATCGTCACGCACAGGTACACTTTCGACGATGCTATTCAGGCTTTTGCAGCTACGGCTGCTGGCAAGGGAGAGGATGGAAAGACTTGCATCAAAGTTCAGATTTGCCAAGGTCAGGCTCAGTAAGAGCTGATCGGGCATAGACCTGTGGAAGAGGGGCCGGCTAACCTCGCAGCATCTTCCACAAGCTGGGCAATCTCATGACATCTTGAAATCTCTGCAGGTCCCGCGATGCGCGGAATGCAGCAGCCACTTGACCCGTTGTATGCCGTGGAGCATGATGTGCGCACCTCTGCTCGAGGAGCCCCGTAACACGACTTGCGCTCCGGATCACTTGCTCTTCTGAGTCTTGGTGGCTGCAGCGGTGGCACCTGCGACAGTGCGCAGTCCAGCGGTAATTGAGCCGTAAGAGTCGAGCTGCAGATTGATCGCCGATGAGAGACCGATAGGCTTGGTCAGTCCGACCCAGAGCAATGAGGCTGATTGCAGTCAGCATGCAGTGGCCTGCTCACCAATAGGTAGAGGGGAATGAATACCCAGGCCAGATTCATGCTGTGGAATGCAAACGTTTCATCC